CTGGTGCAAATTACTGACCTCTGTCATCATTTTAAGTGGGGGAACTTGCACAATCGGTGGCTGACTAAATACTTTTTTGCCCCACTGTATGTCCCCTCTGTGACTTGACTTATGGTGGTGGAGGGGTCCACAGGAGCTATATTGTCGGGAGGCTTTTGCCCACTAGTACGGTCTCACTTGGCAAATTGGTCCTGGGTGAGGGACCAGACAAAGAGTGATTCAAAAACCCCTATGAGTGAAAGATCTAGGGAACAGTTCACACTGCCCACAATAGGGATAGGGTTAGATGGGATGGTCTATTTATTTCACAAACTGCTGATCTACCTTGATTTTCCATCTCTAGGATTTACAGAGAATGGTCTGAAATAGGGAACCTATCCAACAAGCAGGATTTCTCTGGGTGAAAATCCTTTGTTGATGCCAGAGGTCAGAGAGGAATGGCCAGACAACTAAGGTGATAGTTAGGAAACAGTAACTCAAGTAACTAGCAGTAACTCATTATACCCACTTATGCAGAAGAGCATCTCTGCATGCACAACAAATCAAACCTTGAAGCAGTTGGGTTAAAGCAGCAGAAGGAACCAGGACCACTACTGTCATCTACGAGCAGTAGTGAATGAAGGTACAATGGTCCCTGGTCAGAAAGCTCATTTCCTCTCAAACTAGTTTATTAAAAATGGAAATGAGTTCACTGGACTCCTCCACAACCATCAGATCCCAATCAAACAGAATTGATGTAGGTCACACAAACATAGGAATAAAGTCAGGGGAAAATGTTCAAATGGGTGCTAAGAATTAGCCCTTTTTTACCCATATTTGAAGATATATACAAGCACCTTTTCTACATCTACGTACTTTCTATCTAACATCCAGACTCTCCTGAACACGCTGGGAGCAACTTAGGTTCAGCATCTTGCTACAAGGATACTTAATCAGCAGCTGATTTGTATGAATTTTATGAATTAGTTGGGTGTGGTTTTGGTCAAGGAGGTGAGCCACAACCACTCCCAAGTAATAAATCACAAATAGCTGTGTGTGTGTTGCTGTTTGTGTGTCTGTGTTATCTGCCATACCATGCATTACATATAGGTTTGTATGTGTGATTGTATGTGTTTCTATGTGTCTGAATGTATCTAACTAGTCTGTATGGAACTTTATGAATCAGAGGTGGATGTGACATATCTGTCATTTGGAGTAGTATTGCATCCTGGTACCTTCATAAAGTCTGCTCCAAACTACCGATTCCCACACACACATGAACATGAATACTATTGCTTCCCCACACACATCACATATGTATAGCCTTTAACTGACCCATAATCTCCTAACTGTTCCTCAGGCCTGATTCTGGGATCCTTTCATACTCGCTGTCCTCACCAAGGCAGTGACCTTATGACCTTAACTGTTCAATCAAATTCTTTCCTCCCATAAAATGTCCTCGTCCTCACTTCCTGCAACTTTCTGCATGCTTTTCCAGTGCATGATTTGCTTACACATCGCAGGCAACAAACTAAGTATTAAATACATTAAATCAAAATCTGTCTATAAACAACATAAAATACTTCTTCAGATGTTTTTGAACATGCACAATTTTTAAATATATTTTGTTTCAATTCAAACATGCATAAAAATGATATTCTTCTCAGCAGTAGATGGCACTCTGTCACATGTAGTTTTGGCACCTAAAAAGATTGCTCCACCCCTAGGTCAAAAGTCAAACCCTCTGCTACTCATCATTTAACTGAAGACAGAAATGTTTTATGTCACAAAATAAATAAATAAATTTGAAAAGATTAAGGGACAGTGTAATAAACAAAAATTTGGTTTGTTGCCTGAGGGCAACACCATGCTACACACCATGCCATAGAGGGATAACAGAATTTTAGGAATGTGCAAATTGGTGTGTAAGAAACATATTTTATTCTCAACCTAGATTTTGTGGTGCATCCTTTTTCAATTTAGCAATGTATTGAGCTGCAGTATAACAGTGGGCTTAATATGATCTTATGAGAAGCTTGTTTGTTACTCTTACTGTTTATTCTCCATGGTTACGACTGTGGTTATGTTGAACATGGTTGCATTATTTGGTGCACTGATGTTTGTGTGCACCCTAAGCACGGCTCTTTGGGGGGGTTTTCTGTACTTCTTTTTCAGCACTGTTATAGCCTTGAGGGGCTCATCATACCGATTAGGAGAAACCATGCTATAGGCAAAACACAAATAATACAACCGGCTGCAAAACGCAGAGATTACAATTCAAATCTATTTCCAAAGCAGCACAAAAATTCCTGAATATGTTCAGAAGGATGGATGGATGTTCACGTGGTGTTAGAGAATGAGCGAACATGTTGAGTTTTTCAGCACTTTGCCTGCTATGGCCTGCCAGTTAAAACAGTCTGATGAGATACACAAATGTAAGCATGAAACAGAACCCACAATATGTGATGTCATTGGGTTTATCAACCACAAACGCATGGTTTATTAAACCAGATTTTGATAATTCATCTACTACCTGACTATTTAAAACTTTAAAAACTTGCAGATATGTTTTAAAAATTGCAACATGGAGGACACAATCCATCCTCACTGCAAAAGCATCAGATGCTGCTGTTTCATAAAATCCACTGACGTTTAGATTTGCAAGATATCCTTTGATGTTTAGTTTTGTTGCTATTTGGCTAGACATCTTGGTAACTACATGGTTCCATTTCATCACTGAAACAAATCGGTTAGGGCTGAGAAAACAGGTGGCTGATGTACTGTTCTTTTACCGTGCGCACTGAAAAATGATGTCAAATGTGCATCAACATATGACAGCAGTCAGTCCTGAGCAGGGATTCAGATGCAGTAACTTGGATACCAACACAGGTTATTACTGATGACTTTGTCTAAAGAGACTTTTCACGTGATGTCATATGTGCATTGCTTAAGAGTTGTCCAGCGTAGTGGAAGTGATACAGCCACAGAAAACAGACAACATTCACCTTCAAAGTAAAACTAAACCTTTTACTTTGAAGGAGTAGTTTCCAAGTGTTTGAGCTCTCCTAGCAACCATAGCAATTGCAAGGAAGTTTTCGACAACTGCTTGGGAAATACACATTTTTCCTAACCAGCTAATGGTTGCCAGGCAGAGTGCCAGGAGGTCACTGATTGGTCTCTAGGCCTGCATGACTCAAGCTTTAGCAACTGATTTCACAGCAAGTGCCATCAAACTCCAACAACAATTTACCAACGGGGGATAAATGTTTTTCCCTCAAGACCAGTGGTTGCCAGATGGTTGCAGACCAGCCTGTAGGCCTGGGTAGCTCCTTATTCTTTTGACCTTACAGCATCACGCTTCCATCATGGCAGACAAGATAACATGTGGTTAGAAATCGCATGACTGCAGAACCTGAACTGAGCTATGAATAGTCTTAGTAATCTAGGTTAAGACTTAATATAAGCATAATTACAGATGTCTGCAATGACGTATGAATCACGCCACCAGAATGTTAAAACAAACAAAAGCCTTCCACATTCTCACATTTCCCACACCGCCGACAGATAGCTGGCTTCAATATCTCTATTACTCAGCATGCAGCAACAACAAGCACTTGTCTCAGCTGTGTCTATCACTGTTTTGGTGCTGCTCTGGAAACACTTGCCTTGTAGTCTGAACTACCGCTCGCACCTTCATGTATTTCCTTGGGAATTTTTGCATTTGCTCATTTTCCCCCCTCAAAGCCAACCTTGCGTTGTGCAGTCAATAAAGATGTTTTCTGTATTTGCATGTGCCTCATCACAGTGCAGTGGTGCGAGCTTGCTGTGCCACCATGGCCCAGGATGTAAGGTGGGTTTAATTAAAAAGGGATTGTTTATGAATGCAGGATATAGAAACACAGATGGACACCTAAACCAGTCTCAGTGATTTAACATCAAATGCAAAGCAGTGTTCAAACGTTGCTCTGAACTCCCGCTTATTAAAAATTTAACACACAGGCACTCCACAAACACAGGTTTCAAAAAAAAATATTAGCATTGCTTTGTTTAGTCTATTGTTCCTCTCAAGAATATTGGATCTTTGTATTTATTTTAGCCTATAGTGTGTTCATTCAGGATACTAATACTATGCTTTAAGAAAGACCTAAACAACATACTTACTTGCTGTTTTAGTCTATCAATAACGCTGGTGAGAAGACGCTCCTCCTTCCCCAGTTGTGGTGTGGTCACGATAAAGTCTACATCGTGGCCAAAATCCTTCCCCCTGGAGACAAAGACATAGCACAGTTACCCACTCACTGTATCCTGGAAATAATGAAATGAATTACCTTTTAGTCATAGCATTTAACTGATGAAGAGGGAGGGTGGCAGACGGTGCTATTAAAAGAACAGGCCAAGCTAATGGCGCTGTCTCTTTTTTTTCATTATTCAAACAAGTAATTTTTTCCCTTCAGTAGCTAAGTGTAAAAACCCTTTTTGTTGCCTCAGCTGTCAGAGCTTTAACTTTCATGAGAATCATCATTTTCTACTTGGATCGGTGTCATAAAGCGGACCCATATGGACCCTGAATAGGCTTGCACAATGCATTTACTCTGTCAGCACAACTGCACATAAGAGATGTTGCAGTACTGAGTGATTATCAAGTGATTATCTGGCAGAAGAAAAAGCTCTGGACGGAACCGCTGTATGGGCAGAAGATATGTGCACAAAAGGCATATCAAAGCTTCTGTCTGGCTCACTGGATCCATAGGCACTTGAGCAGAGGAGCAAGAAAAGCAAAAGCATCCCCATTATTTAATCAGGAGGAGCAAATGTAGTTTTTTTTTCCTACCCTACTTTTCTGTCGCTTGAAAAGTAAATTATCATACACTTCTCTGCAGTGTTTTTATTAGAAGCCTATCCTTTTAAGTCACGGCACAGCAGCGAGTTATTCAGACTAATCAGAGGAAACGCGAGAAATATGCAGAAATCTATTGTAGACTTACTGAAATTTATCCCCGTGTACCCCGCTCAGAGGAAACCGTCCTGCTACAGAAGTGAGCGTCACAACATTTGTTTATCAAAATCTTTTGAATGTCAAATAAGCGTGTTGCACTACGCGTAAATCTTTCACACCCAACCACACTAGGCAAGCCTGATCAAACAGTAAGGACTGTCAGGCTGACTGAGTGACCAAATTTAAACATGTGGACCCAAGCAAACACTGGGGTGCTGGCGTCACTGGTCAGTTTGTGTACACTTTGAGCAACTGTTTTTATTTCGATTTAGTTTTTGGCTTCTTCAGAATACACATGGTTCGGAGTTAGTACTAAACCCGGGCTTGATGATGCGAATGCGGCGTGTAGATATTCTTTGGAAATTACAGTCCATATAGTCTAAGGTGCTTGGAAAGAAAAGCATCTGGACTTCTTTAAGTTACTTGAAGACATTTCACATCTCATCTGAGAAGCTTCTTCAGTTCTAAGGTCAAATGATGTTGAGTCCCAGATTTAAGCCCTAAGGGAGTGTCCAACAAAAGGGACACGGACCCCCTATTGATCCTCTATCTAATCACACGAGCCAAGGTGTGAAAACGGGTGTAGGTCACAATCAGCCAAGGTTTCGAGTGAACTCACTGTGAAACCTAGCCCCAACCTATCATGTGATTTCCTGAGGTCCATGTCCCTCTTGGGGGTCACTCTCATAGGACTTGAATCTGGAACTCTCCACCATTTGACCCTAGAACTGAAGAAGCTTCTTGGATGAGAGGTGAAACATCTTCAAGCAACTTAAAGAAGTCCAGATGCTTTTCTTTCCAAGCTCCTTAGACTACAATGACCTGGATGACTGAGAACCTTCACAGACATACAGTCCCATATAGTTTTCTAACTCCCAGCTATAGACTAATTTTCACTTTTTGTAATGGCCAGCAGGGGGTGACGTCAGTGAGAACTGCTGGTTGAGTCCAGCCGTATTGGAAACCTGCTCCTGTGAACTATGAGTCTACAGTCTCAGTTGCTCGTTTCAATTCTTACTAAATATAACAGGATTGAGGCAAAAAGCAGAATTAAGCAGGGTGTGCTTCACTATGCGACTGACACGTCAGTAGGCTGTAAGTGTGCATTATCAACCGCAAACAACCTTTGTGAGGTTTCACAATGAGACTAACCAAAGGGTGTTGTCACAGTGGTGGCACCGTTCCCCTTTGACAAAGCCTTGAGTTCTGGCATTTTTCCCATCTCTATATTATAATTTAATTTTTGTTTGTTTGATTGATTTTTGTTAGCAATAACTCACTGTAATATTAAAATCCAATTTAATTTTGGCTAGCAAAAAACTGCCATACATGACACCGGCCTGTGAAGGGAATCATCTTTCCACGGCAACCTTGTGGCATTTCCAGGGGGCTTTATTATTTTCCCACTCATCAGAGACATAGAGATCAGAGAGCATTTGTTACTCTGATCGCCTGCCTAATCTCCAGGAAACTGTCTCAACTTATTAAACAGGCTATTACTAGGAACCACTAAATTCATATCTTTGGTTATCAAAGCCATACGGTGACCACAGATATGCTGAAGAAGGTTTCGGTTCAAGAATTATTTCAGTTTTAATGTCTTCAGAAATTAGCATCTCCCTCTTGTTTTTGGCTGATTTTTGCTTTCTAAATCCCGGTTGCCTATTTTCTGTTTGAGGACCACCCACTGTCCGATTTTCATACTTGAAGCTAAAAAACATTTTCAACAAATTTTCATTATGAGTGAAACTGATTTGATACACACAGCAGGCCTACAGTTTAACACACATAGAGCTTATGTATTATTAGTTACATAAATCGACAGGATAAAAGAAGTAGGAAGTATATTGCTGCCATTCATCAGACAGAAAGAAGACGTGGGATTATATACGTTTATGCCTGTTTCTGCTTCTTTCAGAACATAAAATTTTAGTTACTTATATATATATATATATATAAGACAGTACTATATATTGGGTATTTTGTTTTGTTATATATACATGTTCTATCTGTCTAACAGCCTTTTCACAATGTATATGGGGAGTGCTGGTCTGCATTAGTATATGAGTAGGTGATAGGTGTCAAAGTAATATCAGAGTGAAAGCCAGGAGCCATAGCTTCCCGGCAGAACTGTGCATCATAATTGGATGATCAATGTTATTCACCTGTAAGTGTTTTTTATGATGTGGCGGTCTGGTTTATGTACTATATTCCTGCATTGAGTATGCTATCTTATTACAGTTATATTACATTTACAATGTACATATGCAGTCATGCACATTATAATACTGATATATTGTTATCATATCCGTTTAATAGAAGGCACTTTGGACTGCCCCGTTATTTCCCAGGGGGTCGCAACAGCGAACAGATCTGCACATTTGATTTGGCACAGATTTTACACCAGATGCCTTTCCTGACATAACCCTCCCATTTATCCGGGCTCGGGACCAGCATGAGCAATATACGCTAGCTTGTGACCCACTCGAACTGGGTTTCATCATATCAATTTAGTAATATTTAATCATATATATCCATTATTATTTAACTTTCAAAACATAAACTGATGGGAATTTACGACTGTCCTTGAAAGGAGGTTTATATCTGTGCTTTGAAGCTCTTGAGAGGAGATCAATTTAGTGGCTGTGGCTGAGGTCCACTCCAGTTCCACCTGCTGATAATGCATTCCTCCTACGAGCAATATATTTATCATCCTCCAGCCAGTTAAGATCAGTCTGTGCTGTGCCAGGGTTTCAGAGGCGCTTCCAGTCAACACAATCACAAAAGCAGTTGGACACACCCACGTGTGCCTTACACCACGAGCAGCATCTGTGCTTACAATCATATTCACAGAAGCATATTCACTGCTTTGAGGTTTCCTTTAAAATTCTCAATGACGTTTGTGTATCTACCAGTAATGATGCTCTGAGAGTACTTTGGCGTGCTCATTGGCATTCAAGCCAGACGATAATAAAATTAAGCCTTCAAGACAAACGATGAGCTGCTCAGAAGTGTAAATATGACTGCAAATGGGTTTGAATGTACGCCCTGCGATGGACTGGCCCACCTGTCCAAGGGGTTTTCCTTCCTTTCACACAGTGCATCCTGTCACAGGCTGCAGGATAACTCAAAAACAGCAGTCAGACAGAATGATGAAAAGAAACTGTGGGTTTCTGGCGATTATAGTAGCTTGTGTGTGTAGACACAAATACACAGAAACAAACCAGGGCTAAAGTTGTGCCCTCAAATAACAGAAGATACCCCCGACCGTCGTCAAGTTTAGCTCTGGCACTACCTGCCAGAAGGCCTTGCATTATTTCACCCTAATCATTGCCCAACACCCACTCACACACACCTACACACGCACACACAAAAGCTTTTGAAAAAACAACGAGCGAAAAATCCTACATACGTAAGCACCAGTGTCACAGCAAACAACAAAGCAAAGTGACAATGAATGTTGGGGGCGATACAGCTCTAAAGAAGCCTCTGCAGCCACAAGGCTCGGTGTTTGATCTCTCTTTGCTGCTGCTTGACAGCAGCGAGAGTGAAGAAAGGTGCAGAGGCTGTGAATGGCTTGCGGGAACGCTTCAAAGGTCACTGTGGCTAATTCAGGGAGCAAGGAAGTAATAGAAAACAGCCATTAGAGCTGCAGAAGGCATGATAATGTTAATGGTTAGCATTAGCAGTAGACAGCGTGTACCCCTGTGGCATTTACAGAATCGAGCACCTGGTTTACAGGTTCACTCTGCAGCTGCGTCTTTGGTAACACTTATTCAATTTGCCTTGTGAGCCTGTTTTATTTTGTATTAAATATCAAAAGCTGTTAAGTGAATTCATTTTAACACTTGTGTTTAGACTTTGCAGTATATACATACACATATATAGGCCTCGATGTGAAGAGTTGGCACTTCTTTAATGAGTTGACTGTTAGGACAGCGCTACTTGAGAATGCATCACAGATTTCCATCTGCTGACTGAGCAACTTTTGCCTATGAAATCTCCCAACACTCAGCTTTAATTGGCAAAGCTGAGATTCCACAACACTTCCAGCTCGTACAGTGCGCTTAAGTTGTTAAGTGAGTCTCGCTGTTAGCCTCTGCTGCGCCGGCAAAACCCACTCGAGTGCACTGCATAAATGTGTGCCGAGAATAGCAAAGAAACCAAAGCGGGAAGGAGACAGAGAGAGATCATCAGCATAAATTGGGTTTACCTCCTATCAGAGCTTAAGAACGACCTAATCTTGTCAAATAGTGGTTTTCCGTGTCTGTGTGTGTATGTGTGTGTTAGGGGATAACATGGGAACTGGTGGTTATTTTAGGGGAAGCGGCATTTACGCTTTTCAGCTCCCTCCCATTTGAGCATCAGTATGTGTCAGGTCAGTGCAGATAATTCAGCAGCAGTCAGCGGAAAGGCGGATGACAGCATGTCGTGCACATTCTTCCAGCATACCAGGGGTTCTCCTTCTTCTTCTTCGTCTCTGCCTTTAGCAGTGCAACTTCAGAGCTCTGTTCCTGTTTAGCTTTGGACACCTACTCCTGCTCAGTGGGATGGATGGATGTGAAGATGTGGGTAAAAACAGAAGAATTGATAGGCGTTCGGGCACAGCTGCACGTTGATAAACACCTGGTTTGAATTTAGGCCATCTAGTCTTTTATCGCGTGAGGGAAAATGCTAAATTATTAAGTGTTACTGCACAGAGACAATGAAATACACATGGTTATTTACAGTTTTGTGTGGACGACAAGGCGACACGCATGAATAATACAGATCTGCGAAGTGTTAGGCTACGGGCGTCTGCAGGCTAAGCTCTGCAAAACTTAGGTCACAAAAAAGCAACCAGGCTTTGTTTGTGACTATGCATCATTTTCCCTTCTATCAGCCTTCCCATCCACATTTCTTGCTAACACAGCAGTGCGAGGCGATAATCAGGAAGATATGAAATGAGAACAAGAAAAAGCAGCTAAGTGTGGCCTATTCTTCATGACCAGATGGCTTGTTTTGCTCTTTCCTCCCCTGCAAGCTGATAATGAGGTTTGTTTTAGAATCACGACACCCCGAACTGAGCCGATAAGGAATACTTATCTCAGCTGTTGTTCAAGGCAAACTGTGCGGTGGGACTCGGCGGCTGTTTGCGGATTTGAGAGGAGACACCAATGCCCCCCCTCATCAGTGTCACTTTGAGTCATATTCCAGACAATTTGATGTCCCTCAGTAGGGACTTGCCTGCCTCATACTGAAATAAACACAGTGTTCCGCTGACACTGCGTGAGCCTTCACATGCAGTTGTGGAAGAAGCTGTATTTTCAAGTGTAATCTATTTTTAATCCTCCCCTCCAACAAAACCGCTTTAAGACTTGTCACCCGCCTTCCACAGCTGTCCTTTCAATAAGGCTAATGTCAGTGGCATCAACAAATCCTCGCCACGCTGTTTCTCTCTGAAGTGGATGACAGCCTGAGTTTATTCCAGCACACGAGTTATTTTGTGAAACTTTTGGGAGTCGTGGTATCTTTTTGTGCATCTTCTGCCGAGATGAAAGATTTGCCAGAGCCGGGTGCAGCTATTTAAGGAGGTATATAGGATATGCACATTTCCATTTTTGACAAGGGGTATCGGCTAGAAAGATGAAGCTAATAAGAGACTCTACACCAGGCTCAAAATTATAGGTAATTAAATCGAGCTTTGACAGGACTTTAGAAGGGAACATTTTCAAATATGTCACCGTGAAACGAGTAAGTGGATTATTAGTGGTACTGCTGGCATCTTAGAAAGCATATGAACTATTTTGGTGTAATAGACCTCATACTGCCTCCCACTGTGTTTAAACCATGTCTGGAGAATCAGCCTTTCAACAAGATAAAGGTAAATTACTTACTTGCTTCCTGATAATGCACAAGTTATCGTTCTTCAATTATAGCGCCGCATGATTCCAATTAGGTCTATCTCGCTCTCTCTCTCTCCAAAGTCTGCACCAAATATGGGGTGAAGTAAATGTGTGTTTCATTTCCCCGAATTTGAAGCCATAAAGGCGCTCTTGCAGGCCCCTTTACACTTTGCAGCAGACTCCTGGCCCATAAATCTTGAGCTGTTCCTCTCCCTCATTCTTGAAGTTAACTATCCATGATGCTCTAATCACCTTCCTCGACTCTCTTACCACATTTCCCCTCTGAGCAGTTATTTACATAATCAGACATCATTCCAGCTGTCATTTAACAATTTGAAGATTGGAGCGTTTTTTTTTTTTCTTGTGGATTTTCACAACATCCTTATTTAGGAAATTTGTGAATCTTTCCCATTTACACATTTGCCCACCCCTCCTGATTTCTTAGGTTGTTCTTGTTTTTTACATATTTGCCACATTTACATGCTTCAGATCATCAATCGAAATTTAATATTAGACGAAGATAACCCGAGTGAACACAAAAAGCAGTTTTTAAATGATGGTTTCATTTGTTTAAATAAAAAGTTATCCAAACTTAACTGGCCCTGTGTGAAAAAGCAGCTGCTCACTAGACCTGACACCTGGTTGCAAGATCCTGGGCAATCAAGTGTTTTTGATAACTGGGGATGAGTCTTTCACATCAGTGTGGAGGAATTTTGGTCTACTATTCTTTTCAGAATTGTTTTAATTCTTCCACCCTGGAAGGTTTAAGATCATGCCAAAAATCTGTCTGATTTAAGTACAGACTTTGACAAGGCCACTCCAAAACCTTCATCTTTTGGTGTGTTTTGGATTATTGTCCTGCTCCATAACCCAAGTGCGCTTGAGCTTCAGGGCATGAACTGGTAGAGAGCAGAAGTTATGGCTCCAGCAATTACAGCAAGTTGTCCTAAAGCAGGAAAACACACTACCACCACGGCTGGTATGATGTTCTTTTTATGAAATGCTGTGTTGGTTTTGTGCCAGATGTAAAGGGACTCGAAACTTCCAGAACGTCCAAAAGGTATTTGGTTTGTCAGTCCACAGAATTTTTTCCCAAAAGATTTTGCTTTGGAAATGTCCCATGCATGCCATTTTACCCAGCATCTGTCTTTTTGTTGAATCATAAACAATGGCCTTAACTGAAGCAAGAGATGTCTGCAGTGCATTAGATGTTGTTCTGGGTTCTTTTGTGACTTCCTGATTCTTGGAATAATTTTAGTCAGCCCAACACTCCTGGGAAGGTTCACCACTGTTGCAAGTTTTCTCCATTTGTGAGGCTTACATCGTGGTTCACTGGAGTCCCAAAGCCTGAGAAATAGCTTCGTAACCCTTTACAGACTGATAGATGTCAGTGATTTTGTTTCTTTAGTGGCATGATGTATGATTTTTTTAAAATCTTTTAACCTACTTCACTTTGTCGGACAGTTTCTACTTAGGTAATGTCTTGATTCAACAGTTCTGGCAGTAATCAGGCCTGGGTTTGGGTAGTGAAATTGGACTCAGTTTTTCCCAAAAGAAATGTGGTCAATCACAATTGATTCACAATTTAACAAGGGAGGGGGGAGGGGGGGAATCGGAGGGCTAGGTACATTTGGACAGTTTTGTTTTTTATGTAATGTATGTTTTGAGCAGAGAAATAATACCTTTTCCTTAATAAAATGAAGTTAAGCCATCCCTAATAAAGTGCCCACTGAGTGTATATATCATATTTTTCACAGGTGATTTTTAATAAATCACTCGTGTGATTCGTGTAGGCAGCAGGTATTTCTTTGATAAAGGCGTCCTTGTCTGCTAGTTTGAGTGTTAAAGGTTACTTTGTATCGACCTCTGATTGGTCTACAAGAACTGCAAATAAAATAGATTTCATTTACAGTCTCAACACTGGTCTAAAAATCCATGAAGGGACATGTGTATGGCATACAAAATGATTTTAGGGTTTGGCTGTTGATTTACTTTTTTTTTTTTTTTTTGCAATGCGCAAAGAAAATGCTCACAGCAAGAGAAATCAAAATGAACAGTGGATGTGGGTTAAACGGCTTGAGGTAAGAAACAGATTTCAGGAAAAGCACCATGCTGTCTCTTTGTTTAGACAATTGTGTCATTCTGGAGTTGCAGTCGGCATCTGGTGCTGCAAATATTTCCTCCTAGTATAAAATAGTGAAGTACTCTGATTTCATGCACATTTGCTGCCAAGCTAGTATGCTGTAAGGATCAGCATGTAAATCGGTGTTGTATATTACAAAGTGTGTTGAATTTGGACTCAGAGCAAAGCCTTTGGCTACACCTGACAAATGTGAGATAATGCCACGATACCGGTCCTGTAGCTAAAGTGACTTTTTCCCCCGTTATAAAAGTTAGTGTATAGTAATTTTCTACCAAACTCTGACAAACAGAATACAGCAAATGCAGAAAAGGAAAACTTTAATAAGGTTTTAAGGGAGCAGGAATAACTCCAGTAACATGTGATGTTTGCAGCCCAGACACTATTAAAGACCATCAGCAAAGCCGCGGCAGCTCTGTTACCCCTGTAGAGAGGCAAGCGCCCGTCCTTACTGCCAGACTGCTTTTGAATTATTTACCTCACACGCCACTGGTTACGGCTGGATTTTTACAACACCACAGAGCGGAGTGCTCCACACTTACTGAGCCACAAAGCACTGCGCATAACAAAATAAACAAATAAATAAATAAATGAAACAGCACCACAAAGACGTGCCAATGGAGGGAGGCACCGGCTGCGAGCGAACAGTGGCACTCAGCAGGTAGCTTTACAAGCGCACTCACTGTGCACTCTGAGACTGACAAATGTAATGCACTTTAGCATCTTAATGTAAATGCAAAACGTTAGTAACCCGTGCTATCTGGCGTTCTGTTTTACTGTCAAGAACAAAGGCGTGAGATGGGGAATATTCTGCGGTGGTAAATGTCAAATTAATCCGTTTTGTCTAAGAACTCTCGAAAACTGCAAGATGCAATTAGACACCAGCGGCTCTGACGCTTCTACCCAGACAGTCACTCTGTGACTTCTATGCTCTGATATCAGATAATAATAATAATAACAGTAATAAGATCCACCTGGGAATCAAGCAGACCTCTTGAGGCTTTGCTAATGTCTTTGCTTTCCCTGTGTATAATATGAACAGAACAATAATGGGGGATGGGGAGGGGCGAGGAAAGACTGAAGGTGCCGTTGTGTTTCATCTTCAAATATCAACACTGAAAGGAGGAGACAAGTCTTGTACCTGCGAAAGCCACCTGTCAGTGTGAGTATGGCGTCCGGTGTGATCGCACGGACAGCTTCGTCAATAATGTTCCCCAGGGCTTGGGCCTCTGCTTTACTGACAGCCCTGGAGATGTCTCCATAATGCAGAAAACCTGCAGGGAAAAAGACCACGTGGTTATTAGTCTGGAAGCCAGCCATCAATCATAGCCATTTGCTCCGGGGAACTGGAGAGTCAGAGTGAATTAAAGGTAAGGTAAAAATGGGATGTGTTCTCCTGGCTGATAGAAGACGGCCGCCGCTGTTCGACCGCTGCAGACACAAAACGACTGCAGCGAGCGCAGAAACGGTGCAAAAATTATAATTCGTGGATCAATCGGTATCTCATTGATTTGTATGTTCCTCTGTCTTTGTGCTACATGAAAAGCATTAATTATCCATTTCTTTTTTTGTCCCCCACCGAAGAATGGAGCTTCCCCCAACAATTAATTAGAAAACCTTTAATGATATTTCTGCTTCTAATGAAGTAAATTAAATGGGGTTATTCGTGTTTCTGCTCTTTTTCAAGACTCGTCGAGCACGACGGAGGGTTCAGGGTTCAGACAAATTTTCCACGTCAAAAACTCACACGGTATTTCTCCGCACGGAGTCGACACCGCAGTGTTCCAAGTGATCGATTACGACCAGTTTGATGAAGGTGTCTGTCAGCGCAATACATTATGGGACGGAGTTTGAAAGTGAATGGAAACCTGCGAGCGATGCAGTACAGTGTTTTGAATTACCATCCAGCTACACTCCAAGCAGCAGAAGAAGCAGAGAAATGATGCAGACGAATGAAAAGCTGAATATCAGTATTTTGTTTTTCATATGTGAGAGCACTGTGGGGTATATGTCACTGTCGAAAGCTGATGCTATCTGCATGTCTGGCTGCTTCTGTCTTGGTATATTTCTTCATATTTCTCACTCACGTATTCCTTTCACATTTGATCACATCTGTTTCTTTTATATTTTTTAGAGAGGCACTCCAAACACCTTTAATTCTGTCTGTTTATGGTTTCTTAAGCATGAAGCCTAAGCAAACTTTTTCCTTTAGCACCACAAACAGGTTCACATTTGTGGGTTTCATCTCTGTGGATTGTTATATTTGATGCGAGCCCTCGATTTTCATCAGGTCATCATTTTAAACTTTACGCCGAGCACTTCGGTTTATGGCCGCGGAAATTAATGACGTTCTCATCAGCCTCGGCCGACCTCAGCTCCCACTTGTGAGTGAAGCATCCATCAAATCTGCGTTTCGTAGTCAGAAACTCCTCCGACAAACATAAACAATGAATTTGAGATTAATGACAACGGCTCACGGAAAATTTGCACGGAGGCTCCGAGTTCATGTCACGGCATGTCGTAGAAGCACACGAGAACAGAGCGCTCCACCTGAACTGAAAAACATCTAAGGCCACACAAACCTGCGCTCTGTATGTTAATTAGCAAATGCTAGCTTTCTAACACAAAGATGGAGATTCACAAGATATTTAATTACCAGGGGACCTCGTGTGATCGCTAATACCAGAAGCATCTAATAATTTGCTCATTTCACAGCTCTTACTAGTACTAGAGGTCAAATAAGTGTATGTTATCTCCTTCATGGAAAACCTGGATGCTTTATCTGTTTTTTTCATCATAAATGAGAGGCCTCGTCGTGTGAAGAGCACGGCAAATCCTCACAACAACACACATCTGCGCGCCGTAAAAAAACGATGTTGTAAATTGCAAAGTGAGCAGCAGGATGGAGCGGTGTCTCCCAGCTGCGTGCTTGCTGATTTTTAAGTGGCATAAAAGAGTTGTTCATCTCAATAATGTGTGACATGCTCTCGGTTGTAATTTCACTCAAAAGCCAAACGAGCCAAACCAGTGGACAGAATAAATATTGAGGGGAGGTGGGGGTATATGCTAAAATTTATGTTGTCGTATACCACAAATACCAGCCTGGCGACAGTTGCTGGAGGTGAAGTTAAACTGTTTAGAACACATCATCTGCGCTTTATGAAAACCAAGACAAGACGAAGCGTCAATCCATGAAGTATTTCACAGGAGAAGTAAAGAATCTGAGCTGCTGTTGGAGCTACGAACAAAAGCAGGGCGTCCTCGCATTCAGAATCATCCTCTGTGCATAAATGCATGAAATATCTCACCCTCAGAAAAAGCATCTTTGTAGAATGGCTCAAAAACAACTAATAACTACCACAAATGAAAAATAAATTTTCAGCTTTTGGCCAGTTTGCTTTCCTTTTAGCCTCACAGAGCCACTCTTGTGGCCGTGGGCTGTAAATTGTTGAAAAAATCTTAGCACCAACTTAATTCGATGGCCCGCTCTGGCGCGACAGAGTGGTGAGACGTCTGCACCATGCCTCCCCTTCAGAGTCACTACTTATTGATTTAGGTTGGGGGTTTTTTTGTAAGAAAAACTCTCCTGTTGTGGTTTTTTTTACAGTTAACTCCCTGCTGATCATATCTCACTTTTGAGAAAACACATTACCGCTAGAGGCTCACATCCTTTGGGAGTAAACAAAAAAAAGGCACAAATAAAGTCCCAAACGACATGCAGCCCCACCCCCCGCAGGGATTTAACAATTAGGCCTTTGAGTCTCTCTTGGAAGCGAGCTCGACTTGAAATTTCTCCTCTATAATTTGTAAAGTGGCGGAGCGAGGATGGTGAGATGTTGATGTACCACTTTGTTGCATCCGGTTGAGATGAATGTCGGGCTCCGCTAGAACGTCGCTGAATGAGCGCAGCCCTCTGCGGTACCACTTCTCAGCTGTCTTAGGTCCAACCCCAAACACACTTGTGAACAGCTGGCAGGAAACGAGGTAAGTATGTAATCAAGGAGACATGCTCTGAAATGACAGGTTCTTCTGAGAAGAGGTAAGCATTCAAAGTTTCCAAGAGCTCCGAGTCCTTAAGAGGGAGCAACAGAGCGCATCATTTTCACAGCGAGTTAAAAGCTCCAGAATGGAGAAAGCGAGCCATCGACTGAGTTGTTATTCATCCACTGACCTTTAGTATTTGATACCTTTCATCCGAGAGTATTTTCTCGACTTCAAACGAGTGGCCGTGTTGAAGGATCTCCTGCAAAACACAAAGGCGGATGATATTATCATCAAGGAAAGCAATGTCTGTGTCAGCATCGGCGTGTTTTCCCCTGGGTTCCCCCCCAGCCGGCTATTAACAAATGGGCCCCAAATCGCTGCTTATTTGAGAAACCATCCACTTATATCAGGCGTCCTTATTTCCATTTCTTTTCCTTTCGACAAATAACGGCTTTGTTGTTGCGAAACCTGGGATTAATACCTGTTTTATGGCAATCATAAAAAACCCCAAGGTAATGTTTTCCCCCAGATTCTGTTGTTTGCTCCAAAACCGCTTTGTTCTGCATTTAATTGCCTGCGTCTCTCAGTGAGAGTGCCGCCAATTTTGCTGGTCACATTTTAACTGTCTTCATTATGCGAAGAATCAGGTAGCAGCTATCTGGTTAATATCGGCCAGGGGGAAATGAGCCTGGATGCTTTTGCTCTGGGATAAGTATCCGTGTGCATTTTGAGCTTGTGCATGAATGGATGACAGCCTGTATCGGTGAGCCAGTGAACCTAACATCCACACTGTGAGTACAATGCAGTTTGAAGCAGCCTTCACTGCTCAGTGATGCATCCACCCGTCCACCTCTGCTTTTCAAGCCCCCAGCTAAGGCCAACCTCAAAACGCACGGATAATGCTTCAACATACTCCCCGCTCCGGGAAAGACACACTTCTTTACATGCACGGCTCCTCTTCCTCTCTCACACAAACACACACACACATACAGCAAACACATATACTGACTATTCATCCCCCAACTCTGCCTCAGTGCTCCCAGACTTTCATGTCAGTAGGTTTATATATTTTCCCCACTTTGGATGTTCAGTCAGCAGTGAGCAGTTCAGTCGCTGCTGACAGAGTGTCGCTCCGATGTTCACAGGCACATCAAGCATTTTGTTTTCACTCTGTTTGGTTTCACTTTGTTTTTTGTGTCATGTCATTTTTGGTGTTTTGAGCAGCAAACTGTTCAAAGAGACAACCCCAGCGAAAGGCGTGCGTCTGAATTGTGCAAGGAGAACAAGAAGGAGAGGTCACTTACAGGCAGTCTAATTTGGTCTCCCCGGGACATTTATGCTATTTTGTTTAATGAATCTGACTCGGCGCTGACAGCTTTGACAGATTCGGAAACGCGCTGTGAGTCGCGCAGCGTGTATGTTAGGTTTAACGTGTCAGAGAGAGCCGGGTTGCTGAGCTCACCTTGTTATCCTACAGGGACCTGGCGTTCTCTCAGAGCGAGCATCCGCACTTTCCCTGACAACCTGCCATGATTCCTGCCCTGAGCTCGAGTGTAGATGTGGAGATGTAGTGACCCAATAAGACTTTTTTTTTTGTCTCAGAGACAAAATATATTTGTCTGATACCCATCAACGTGTGCTGCATGTGTGCAGCAAAGTTTTTATTCATACGTCTGTACGTCTTTCTTTCATATATTTCTTAGAGACTGAACTCAGCATTGAGAATCTCCTCCAGAAAGGCTTATGTGTGCAGATGGTTACTGATTCAGCTACATTCTTCTTGCTAGCACAGAGGGAAAAAAAACTATTTCTAAGTAATGGAATGCGTCATATACAATAGAGCCAGCCTGTTTAAACTACTTCTGTCACATCAATGCCTCCTTATTTAAAGTGGGCCTATTATATTCATTTTTAACTCCATATTTTGCTCTTGAACTCCACCGCAGACGCTTTGCATGATTCACAGTCCTTATTAAACCTATGCTGTGCCTTGGTGCAGCCTCTCAACAGACATTTTAACTTCCTTTCATCAGCCTTTAAGTTAACTTTTTTCTGATTCGCTGCCCCTCGCACGCCAATGGTTCGGACAGACGGTGGGTGGGGATACTTTGCTCACAAAGAATCCCCCACCAGATCATCTGATCTCACTACATACGTACAAAAAGGGAATAAAACCTTCTGAAATAATACACAGCGCTGTGCAAAAGTCTTGAGCCATCCCTCATTTC